AGACAGTGGTGACCAGATACACTGACAGTTACCAAGTTGTATCCAACTGCCAAGAATACTGACGCGTTGCAATTCAATTGATATCAACTGATGTGATACACTTATTTTCACAAGCCTCGTTGTCAATTTTACAACAGCAAAAAAACCTCCTGTGACTTAAAAGAGACTAAATTGACAGTTGATTGAGAAATCACAAGCTACACTGCATAATTCATCATTTAAACAAAGGCACATTATTACTGTTATTACTCCTTTGGGTTCCGAATGGAAAATAGGACGTCAGCAGAACATCTCCTCCATTTCATTTTGTTCTCTGCAGAGTTCTTTGGCTGGCTGCACGATTCCCCCTCCCATAAGCTCTCATCTCCCCCTCACACACAATTTCCTCCATGTCACACTCGGAACAACAACAACATCTAACTCATTGTTTCTCACTCGGGTTCCACTCAGGGGTTAGTATGGCGTGCGATATCAGCCATATCATCCATTTTCTTCGGAATATTGCCTGGTTGACCAATAAGTTCTTGATTGATTGGTCCTCCGCCAGACTTTCTTGTTGCTAACACTTTCTACCGGCCATCTGTTATTTAATATGGAGCTAGAGAAGGCAGTTGATAATGGAAGTCTGCAGTAGCGTCTAGGAAATGCTTTTCGTGAAAGATGTGCCACGTTTCAGACCCACTTATGGAAGAACTGACTGATTGACTGAATGACTTGAAAATGGTGTTGAAGACCTGCAGTTTGTGATTCATGGTGATCACGGAAGATTTGTGAACTGATTTCAGAGTGATGAAGGTGAGTTTCGCCTTTTTGATTGTGATTTTCACACCTTCATCCGTTTGTGACTTATAGTGATTGAAAGGATGTTGTCTAGATAAGTGAATGTGTTGACCTCTTTCATATTCCTTTGGTCGCTGGTAACTGGTACTTCTTGTTGTCACTGCCAGTTGGTTGGTTGTCTTCATCACCAATGTCTTCTATATGTTCACTTGAAGTCCACAGGTCTTCCCCGCTTCTTCTGACAACTTGCTGGTTTTCACCCGACAAAAGTACATGCCCAGTATGAAATCCATCAGGCGACTGAGCAGAGATAGTCTTCAAATTCTTGTGTTTTAAAGTTGGTTCATTCAGGGATTTATATCCACTCAGAGCATGAACGGCTGATTACTTTATATACTTACAGTGTATCGCATCAATTCAGGAAGTGCATTCTTGGTAAATGGGATTAAATTTAGCAGTCAACTTGCCTATTCCTGTTAATACGAGACTCTGGTGACTGACACGCACATTTTGGCTGCACAGAACAAAGTGTATAAAGCACTGAGCGGTGAAAGTTGTCTTGTTTTTTTTCTAAACTGAGTTTCACCGTCTGGGTTGGTAACCAGGAAGCCTCAGGCTTACATTCACACAGATTTTCCATCCCTGCATGTGTCAATCACTCTTATGCCAGTCATTTACAGATGTGCACAAAATCATTGTCGATAAAAAAGACAACGTCTAAAAGGCATTACCGGTTATTCACGAGGGATGAAGTTAAAAATAAATCAAAGTTCGCCGACAGTAAAAACCACAATTATTCTGTTGATTTCAGAAAAGATGTGTACTTTACATAGCCTACTACGTTGGAGTTCAAAACTGTAAAAATTTACATGGAGGATTTCATCATGAGCTGACATCAGTTAAAGAACCACTGGAGTACGGGACAGCTGTTTCGTCCTAGTTTGGGACTCTCCATCAGTAAGCACCCACCAGAGTTCGAACCCCGGACCTTCTGGTTACAAGGCTTGCCCGTAGATTAGGCAGTAACTCATTGAAGAAGACATTGCTAAATGGTCGCGCTATGTCGTGAATTGGCAAAAGTTAGAATTCAAGGACCATTGGATCGGGTCCCAGTGGCTCAATGGTCTATGAGCTCGCCTTGTAACCAGAAGGTCCTGAGTTCGAACCCCGATGGATGCGTACTGATGAAGAGTCCCAAACTAGGACGAAACAGCTGTCCAGTACTCCCAGGGTTTCCAGTGGTTCTGTAACTGATGTCAGCTCATGATGAAATCCTCCATGCAATCAAACAAAATCCCTACAAAACTAATACTTCAGAATATAAAAATTTAGGCTTAATATTCGTTTTTTCTACGAGTGAACATTATGGAGATTGGTGTATTATGCATAAATGACTGATATTCGGTCACCAAACTAAACACATTTTTGTCTTATAATCTATATGCCAAGTACTGATAATACAGAAACTATTAGTCTACCCAGTGGTCTAAGTACACTTTAAAACTGGGTAGTATTTTTAAGTTATTCGGACTGAAGTGAACTTTCTAGATGTTGTATGTGATTAGACAGTAGGTTGATCATTTCGGAATTCATTAGTGCAAACTACCAAGTGTAATACCGGTCATATCATAAGTGGCGGTGGGTATGGGAAAACAGGTGAACATTTGATTGACACCTGTCAGATATAAGATGATGCTCTAAGACTGGTTCGCACCGGTTCCCTAGTTTTAGGGATGGGCACTGGGACACTCGAATTTCCTTTCCATTCCACTTATTTCAAAAGCCAGATCACCTCTAATTGACATACTGCTAATAAAATTTGGGGACAGAGAAGAAGTATACCTTGATAATCTCCAGTTTAGGTTATCTTTGGGTCTGGTGTGATATTCATCCATCTTATTGTCCCGTCCTTCATAAAATCTGTAAGAAATAGCCGTTACAATTAGAAGATACTACGATGATCGACGTTTCTGATCACAGGTATCGATATTCACTCTCTTTTGTTAGTTGGAGGAATATGTTGAGTAATAGTGAGTCCGTGCATACAGTGTCAGGTAAGGAAAGAAAGTAAACAAATGAGGCTGTCAAGCTGTATCGATTGGAACAACAAAGGTGTATATAACGCCCACCGAACCACCTTCTCCCTTAACTATCAACGTTAGGTGAAAAAGAAATAGGCTGGTAAAGAGTTGGGGACGGCCAGAACAAGCCATGGTATAAGCTAGGCTGGTTGGAACTCAACAGCTGGAGACTGTTAGTGTCATGGCTGGAAATAGTTTTCAGTGATGCAGTTATATTCGTTTCGTGTTAGCATGCAAATTCTGAAAGTCTTCACTGATCCTCATGTTACTACTATTTACTTCTCCCGTATATATATATATATATATATATACATATATATATATGCATTAGGCATGCGACTCTACCACTGGAAATCGAGCCCAGAAGATTTGAGTTACGATGCAGGTTTGATGACCATTCAGTCGTTGGAGCGGATGGAATCCGTGACAATTTCATGACTGCTGTGGTGAGAGCCGTCTGATCGCCAAAACTGATAGACAGCAGTTTACGTCAATATTTACATCCCAAATCTTGGTCATGAGCAAAAGCAAGAACAAAGCCTAACCTTGAGGGACTCAACGACCAATCACAGCAGACTTAGCGTGGGCGGATACGATTAGCAGATATAGATCATCGGACTGTCTAAGAAAAAGCAACAAAGAGATGACAGGATAACCTTCAGCAGGAAAACAACCAATCAGAAGATATTGCTTCCCTACTAACAATAACGAATAATAATGTACATAAAAATCTATAAATATCTGATTAAAAATGCCCATTAAAATTTTCAAAAGAATGGATACTGAACAAAGAATATTCCTTTCAATAACTTCATCATCAGGCTCTACAGTTATGTATGCACACATTAAAGTGAATGAATGAATTAGTGTTATCAACAACAAAATTAATGTTGTTTAAATAACATTGAATCAACAACAATATCAATGGATTACAGTTCAGTAGCATCAACATAACAATAAACTGAATGTCAGAAAAATTAGGAAAGATAATATTACAAATTCATGAATTTATAGTCTCTACTGAAGACCGGCCAGGGCAGTAGTAGGGGCTGGATTTGCTTCTTTTGAACACAGAGCACTGGTTGTTTGAGGCGAATTGTAATAGCCTCTGCATGCGGTGCTTCGATGATTTTGGCAATTTATTAGGCATCCGGAGATTATTGAGAAGGATTCTTCCACTCTAGCTTTGTGGCCGATTTGCACTAGATGGTCGAATATCGAACTGTTAATGGTTTTAACTACACCTTTACTTAGCCATAGTGGGAGATTTCTCGAGTGAGCACGAAAAATCAAGTTCCTAGAGCAACGGCCAATATAACTGGTTCCACTATAAGCGCAGTTGAATTGGTAGATACAATTTGAAGTGGCTAGTCTAGATACTTCATCTTTCAGTCGAGGTAGCACCATCAGTCGTGTAAAGAATAAGACGTGTAGTTCACCAGCATTAAAAGTCCTTTGAACTGATTTTCTTAATTTCCTCGTAATTATCTCACTTGGTAGATCGCCCTTGAATTGTTGTCGTATATAAAGAGGCTCCTTGTTCTTTGTCATGTGTTTCTTGATAAATTTGTCGGGATAGCTATTTTCAATCAAAGTATCATGTACAATGCTTAATTCATCTTCAATTACTTCTTCTGAGCATATAGCTCTAACTCTGTGGCTGAGGGTCTTTACTAAATTTCTTTTGTATTGAAGAGAAACGAAGCTGTGAAAATGAGTATATTGTCCTGTCCAAGTACTTTTGCTATGCAAATTTCTTTTTATGCTACCATCTAGTTTCCTTGTAAGTAGGACATCCAGGAAGGTAATTCTGCTTTTTGGGATTCCTCTTCGCATGTGAATTTCCTAGCCGAATGTACGTCACTGAATTCAGTTATTATTGTATTTCTATCCGAATCATTATCACAAAGAATGAAGGTGTCATCCATATACCGGCAATAAAATGTGAACTTACTGATATCTGTTGATTTTCTCAATAAACGATCTGTTGCCTGGCCCTTGTCTTCTAACAATACACTACCAGTGTCAAGTTACCTTAAGACATTTTATCTTAAATATGCATAGTTCAGTATTAATATTTGTATCCTTACATTCCTCGCATAAAAACATTTTTTTATCTTACATTGTGATGATACATAGATTTTGCAAAATATGATCCACTGTGCTGATCTGAGTAATCCAGCTAAACCGTTACGATTATATCGAAAGTGGACTGGACGTCTAATTGAAGAATTCTTTAGACAAGGGGATAAAGAAAGAAAACTATCACTTGAAATTAGTCCAATGTGTGATCGTGAATCTGTAGCAATTGAAAAATCCCAGGTGAGTTGAAAACAAAGAAAAGCAAAACAACAACAAGAACAACAATATTTCTTTGCCATTTTGATTTGTTGTTTTTTTTGGTTATTTGTACCTTTTTGTGCATAAATATAACAAAGTAATTTCAAGGATTAATTATCACAAGAGAAAATTGTTGCGTGAACACTGGTTCCTTCGCATGACTTCGCCATCATAAATGGCGCCAAAGTTGATATTAAATTGAATTACGCATTTCCTCTGATCTTTCCCCTGGTCTTTCTATATCTAAAACAATATTCTGTCTAAAGTTCTACGTGAGGAAGTGAAAACAGTCTGGTAGAACTTAGTCTCTACGGTTACAGTTTATCAATACTTGTATTCTCCCCAATTCTACCTTTATTGCTCCCCTACACTCTGTTTGTCACACTGTAAATGGCACTAAAAGCTGTGAGTAGGGCGAAAGGGATGTTGCTAAACAAACTTGTTAGTGCTCATGTACATAGACACATGGATTCATGCAGAAACTGGCGAATATCATGTTGTCAGAGTCTGAGAATCCTCTCTTCGCACAACTCCTTCATTAAATAGGACTACAAGCAGCTACAGAAGACTTTATGCTCTGATGACGAAGCATAGAAACTCTATAATGCCTTATTTGGTTGAGACACAGGGGTACATACCACTGATAACATATGAGCTATAGGGAAGCACTCATTGTCGAGCACTTTACTTAAAATAAAATGCAAGTCACTCCATTATGGATAAGATTTTATCCTTATTACAAAACTGTTTCAGGAATGTCACGTAAAGTACTGACAAAGAAAGGTAAAATACTGTTGTAAGTCAGTTCATATACTGTTAAATTTCGTTGTGTATTTCCCCGGGTTTTGTAGTTCCTATAGGGACTGGACTGATTTTTAGGGGTAGGGTTACTAGCTCCAATCCCACCCTTGCCTCCCAACATGAGCTTAGAACCTGCTAGAAAACTAGCGAACTAGTAAAATAGGCGTGGTTTTGAATTTTAGCCAGTGCTTCTATATGGGGTCGGAAACATGGCCAATGCGTCACGAAAGGCGTTTCCAACAGCCTAATGTAGACTTTTATCAGTAGCTGTCTTCACCAGCTGCAATAATCAAGATCTGATAGTCAGGAAGAATTAGAAACAAGAAACTCTAGGAAGGAGCCAATCAAGAACCTTTTGTTCAATAAACATGTCGAAGAAAATGTGAATAGATAGGACACCGGCTGACGATAAACAGTCAGGTGACATCTCGAACCCGAATAAGAAAAAACAAGTTGTGTGTGTAGTTGGTTCCAAGGTGACATAGAAGAGATCGTGTGCGGAGAAGATTAAAGTTTATGAGGAGTTGTAGGGCCAAGTGAAGAGGATTTCGGAGAACAGGAGATGTTGTTGTATGTTCTACATGGAACCCAAGGGGATTATAATAATAATTCCCCGAGTTCTAATTTAACTCAAACTGTATAAATAAACATTCACCATTCTCGTCTTCATTTGTTTATTCATTTGCTGATTTCTGTAATAGGTTAGTTTCATTGACTTCGTATGCCATCCTTTATGGGAAACCTGGTGTGATCTTGTCCATCCTTGTGCTCAGCTAGTTCTAGACACCCTGGAAGACAACAGAGACTGGTATGAATGCCAAGCAGAGGATCCCAAGTCGAAAGGTGCTCAGTCTGCAAGACCAAAGTTGGCGACTGCAGCTGAAGATGACGAGGAAGTGTCAATAACCTCAGGAAATGCACAAGAACAATAAGTTTATTCTACAGAAACATACATACATACACACAAACAGACAAACAAACAATTACACAACTGTTTGTTATACAATATGCCTTTTGTCTAAATAACCTTTGTGCTACAATTGTCAAAATCACGTATTTATTGAGTTATGAAATGAATACGCTGACAGATGTCCTCCTACACTCAAATTTGTTTTTCTAAATGACACACCTACCTATCAGCAAGCACACACACACAAACACAAACACACAAACACAAGAAAACACTGACTTTTATCTAGGTACCAATAATAATAACAATAATAATAATACTGTTGCTGATCCCCCTATTTTTTTTCCTTGACAAGTTTATTTTTTGTTTTGTTTATTTTGAATTATAAACAATTGCAGAAATGATGAATACGTGTCGGGTTGCCTGAACTCTCTATCTCTCTCTCTCGCTCTCTCTATCGTATCGGTTCTGTTTACCCTCCTTTTTTTTCATTATTCATATTCACCTGATTGTTGTTCATCACATTTACTGATCGATTTATTTGTAAACAATTTCTGCATATAAGGAGAAAGAACCACAGATGTCAATCTCATTCATATGCATTCAATGCATAGAAATACATAAAAAAACAGCGCTAACGATTGTGTATTTTTGGAGGAAAAGCTAGTCGTAAATTACGATATCTCCACTTCATACTATTTTTTCCCCCGACAGTTTGAATAGTTCCTAGTTGGGAAATGAGCATCAATGCAGGTGCTGAAACTGACAGAAACACACAAGAAAGAATGTACTCCTCATGCATATATACATTTTTACATTTATTGACAAGATTGGGATAATGATACAGCCGGGCAGGCAGGCAGGCAGGAAGGCAAGCAGGCGTGCATTTTACTTCTTTCCTAAAGTAGTAACACATTTTGTCCAACCCGTGTCGGTAATCACTGTGTCCGACATCATACCCTCGGTCAAATGGAATGATTCTCTATTTTAATAAACAACATTATTAACCATTGTTACCAGTCATTTCGACTGCTGATCACCCTTCTTCTCAACATCCTCTTCCTCCAGATTTCTTTTTTTATGGCTGCTTATTTTGATTCCGCTTTATACAACAGCCTTGTACTCTTGTGTCGTGTTTTCGCCAAAACACTACTGAGTGTTGAATGTGAGAACTATATGTATGAATACATTTCATATTCCTTCTTAAAGTCCCTCTCTCTATCTGTCTCTCTTCTAATTTACAAGGATGCTCGGTGATATGGAGCTTGGTTCATCTTTTTTTTTCCCAACCTTTCATTTTATTTTATCTCGAACAGAAGTAGTGGAAACTGAACAGTCACACTGTTTTTCAATCATGATGACGAGGTTGTCAAGAGATGTGGAACAAACAAGTAGACTTGATACCAAAACCATGAAATGTTTCAACTTTTGTGACTTTTGCATGAATCTAAAAGTTGTTTATTTCCTTTACAAAAAGAACAAGAAACTATTTCTTTCAGCGCCTAGTGAGTAGTATCTGCTTTGTGTTTGTTTGAGTGCGCGTGTGTGTGTGTATGTAAAAACTGGCTGATTTATACACCCATTGATGAATACTCTTGGAGCATACAAATAATTGTGTTACTTTTATTGTACTATAATAATAATAATAATAATAATGATTTTATGACACCCAGTATTCATATAAAATCTATTAACCTGTTATGATTAATACTGATACTATTATTATTACGACTGTTATTTCAGTTAACTAATCTCATGCTGGTAAATACTATACAATACAAATACTATATAACATGTACATTTCCTTCACATTTTCTTAAATGTTGGTCGTTTTGTTGCATTGATGTATCAACCAACCAACCAACCAACCAATCACTTGATAGATTTATCTGCCTGTCTGTTTATCTATCTAATTATATGTCTATCTATCTATCTACCTATCTATCCATGTAATGAGTTTTTGTGAGAATCATTCAATAAATTCTGGGAACAATAAAATAGCCTGTGTAGTTTTAATCTCTTTTTTATTTTGTTTCTTCTAGTAACACTTCATGTTACATTTGTGCTGTGAATTAGACATCAGGTAGTAGGGGTAACTTGTGTCAAGTGTCTAGGTACTTGGTAGTTTGGTGTAGACTGAGTTCTTTTGTCCATCAGGTTGGCAGTGTGGCCACCAACAGGCTAGGTTCCGGCTCGCTATCATGATGCACTGTGAATTTCTGTTGTTATTATTAGATGATTGGAGGCAATCGGCTGGAAGCCTTGAACTTAGGTCTCGTGGTTGTTGGCACTTGTCTGCTGACTGACTCCACCGACCTAATAAGAACAATTCAAAGTGTACTGTGGTAGCGAGTCACCTAGCCCCTTGGTGATCACACTGCAAAATCGGCTAGTAGAATTCAGTCTGCACGAAAATCCAGGACTATAGGTGCAACACTAGTACCCAATAGAGTCCTACATGACGTCAACTGCTAACCCGTAAAGCTCATCGGTGACGTCTCTGACTGCAGCACTTCCTGGGGGACAGGGAGTTCGAGTCTCAGAAGGGAGGTGAGTTCTTTGAAGGTCACAGGTACGCCTTGCTGACTGGTGAGTGCCAACAAGCAGGAGAACTCTACAGCATCCGTCCGATTGCCTCCAACCATCTTACATTTTTGCTTTGTTTAAGTTATACGAGTTGCATGAAAGTCATACTGCTGCCTGAAAGAAGAAAACAAGAAGTGTATTCCACTTGTACACGATAATAATAATAATTATAATACCATGTAACTGTGAAATATGTGTTTCTTTGCTCTCTCTTAGTAGCAACTGGCAACAGCTGTAGTCTCCATTTTCTCAAATCCTAGTTTACAGATATCTCAATAGCCTACACCTAACCTACCCTGTGTTTCTACGGGTAGGACGTGCTAGTAAGCCAGGCGATCACGAGTCATATAAAATGAAACAGAAACCAATGGGAAAGTGATATGTGATGACAGCGTCACACACAGAAAACAACAGTATACTGTCCTACTTCGATAGGTAGTTTAATCACAAGTTGAACTCAGTTGCAGAACCACTGGAAAACCAAGGAGTACTGGACAGCTGTTTCTGTCCTCATAGTCTGGGACTCCAGCAGTACGCACCCACCAGTGTTCGAACCCAGAACGTTCAGATTACAAGGCGAGCCTGTAGATAGTTCAAACACTCAGAACCTAATGACCAATGGCCAATCCATTAATTCCAGCTTCTACCAATTCGTGGCTTTAGCGCAACCAGCAGGTAATATTATCGGCAAATATCTGTCCTCATGTCCAACATGGTGAACCCCACTGAATGCATAATCCGCATCCAGGGATTATTGAAAACAAAACACGTAGATCAGCGAAGAGTCTCTTTTCGGCGGTGAATTCATTATTTTGTATGTAGGTGTACATTAAGCTTGTCAAACAAAAATACAATTGGTTATAGTTATTTTAACTAAACAGGTGAAGATTAGTAATTGGAGTTACGTAATACAAAATCAGTCAAGAAAATTAGGTGTTAATGAAATTAGGGTAGTAACAAAGGTGATGAGTTGTTATAAACAGTTGTTAAAAGAAGTTATGCAATAATATGAATAGTTTGATGAGTGAATCCTCAAGAACACTATCCAGCATGGTTGCGAAAAGGCAATAGTGGTGCAATAAGGAGTGCGATAATTGAACACCTGGTTAACACTGATCATTCCATTTCAACAAACGCCTCCTGCTTCAAAGTAGTCTACAGAGTCAAGAATAACCTATCAAAGGCAATACGGTTTCGTATTCTTTGTTTTGCTGATGCTCTGGCCATTCACATGGAATAACCGGAGCTGTGCATACAAAACAGGATTACTCAACCACTTCTACTGTCTTGGTAACAACTTTTTTGATTTGATTTTTTTGATTTGCTTCTTTGCCTGTTCTTTAATTGCTTATAATTCTTGTTTTCATTTAGAACTCTTACGTAATTTCGTGATATCTACTTTGTTCCTATGTGCATCCTGAGTAAAACTCACTCATCAAACTATTCATATTATTACATAACTTCTTTTAACAACTGTTTGTGACAACTCATCACCTTTGTTACTACCCTTATTTCATTAACACCTAATTTTTTTGACTGATCTTGTATTACGTAACTCCAATTACCAATCTTCACCTGTTTAGTTAAAATAACCATAACCAAAAGAATGGATACGGAACAAAGAGTACTCTTTTCGATAAATTCATCATCAGGTTCTACAATTATATATACATTATAATGAATGAATGAATTAGTCTTATAAACGACATTAATGTTTAAATAACATCAAATCAATAATATTGATAAATTACAGCTGAACAGCATCAACATAAAATATGCTGAATGTCAGAAAAATTAGGAAAGGTAATATTACAAATTCATGAGTTTATAGTTTCTACTGAGGGCCAGGGCAGTAGTAGGGGTTGGACTTGTTTCTTTTGAACATAGAGCACTGGTTGTTTGAGGCGAATTGCAATAGCCTATGCTGTTTGGAGCATGCGGTGCTTCGACGATTTTGGTAATTTGTTAGGCACCCGGTATATTATAGGCTATGAAATTCACATGCGAAGAGGAATCTCAAGACAGAATTGCCTTCGTGGATGTCCTACTTACGAGAAAACCAGATGGTAGCATAAAAAGAAATTCGCATACAAAAAGCACTTGAAGAGGACAATAAACACACTTTCACAGCTTCGTTCCTATCAATTACAAAATAAATTTAGTGAAGACCCTCAGCCACAGAGCTAGAGCTATATGCTCAGAAGAAGTATTTCAAGAGGAATTAAGCATTGTACATGATGCTATGATCGAAAATGGTAATCCTGACAAATTTATCAAGAAACACATGACAATTACCAATTTTCACCTGTTTAGTTAAAATAACCATAACCATTTGTATTTTTGTTTGACAAACTTAATGTTCACATACATACAAAATAACACATATATATTTGCGATTGTACAGCTAAGAAAATGAATTCACCGCCGAAAAGAGACTCTTCGCTGATCTACGTGTTTTGTTTTCATTAATGACTGGATGGGGATTATCCATGGATTGAAACGTAGCAAGAACCCCACTGAACACGACTTCCCACTAGAACTCCCTCCAGTCAACTTCATCCTGAAGTCAGGCACCAGCGAGCGTCAGAATAATCTTTTTAAAAGTTTGTTTATAGGTGTGTGATTTGTTTCAAGTCTGATCCCGAGGTGATATCGGCTAGAGAACAAGCACTCCCTAATTCCTTAAAAAATATCCTAGAGCTTGAATCCGCGAAGTAAGCTTTGAATTAAGAGCAGAAATATAGTCACTTGTAGTTGGCTGTCATGATGCGATGGAAGGTTTATTAAGCCAATCAGTCAGTCTGTTAGTCAGACAGAAGTGATATCTGATTCAAATGAACATCACTCAAAATAAAATCTAAGGCGAATTCTACAGAGTAAGCTGTAGAACGTCTACGGAGACTGGGCAATTAAAAGTGAAGTATTCATCTACCGAAGTACAGATAAGATGATCACCAGTAGAAGCAGTTGAGCATTTCTCACCTACAATACACAGATGTATTCACTAGCCCGATCTAATATTGTGACTTTTCAAATCAATGTACTCTGAGGTTCTTGTCCCATCCTTTCGTTTAATATAAGAAGGGACAATCTGAGATTAATTTTCCAGAAATTATGGAGTATTTCAGGCAGAGATATAATAATAATAATTTGCTTTATTCCAAAACAGTACTTGTGATACAGAATGGAATTCTCAGCATTTTTACTACAGTATTGCATCCAGTTAGTACATTATCAATAAATAGAATTCTACATAGATTGAGGAAACCACAGTTCATTATTACAACAATACATTGGCATATCGGTAGCAAAGGAAAAGCTGAAACAGTGTTTGAAGGTGTTAGAAAAGTGGGAGCTGTCTTATTAACAGGCGTAAGCGGGAGAAAGAAAGGAAGCAGTATACAACAGAAGAAGAGAGAGAGAGAAAAGGAAAAGAAAGAAAATGTTGTACATATTGATGATGTGGGTGGGAAAGACGAGATCCAGTTGTACTACTGACTATTTAATGAATTATAGGTGTCACGCCTAATGCTTTCTTTATCACACAGAACACGAGCTAAGTAGGGTATGGTTGAGTTTTTGTACTTGCTGGTGCGAGCATATAGTTTTCTATATTGGCTTCTGGTTTTACCTGATGAGATGCAGGGGGAGAGTTGTGAGTGAAGAGGGTGGTGTGAGTTAGATAAAATGGATTTGGCCCATTTTTCACATGAGTCCATGTGCCTGTCAACCAGAGTATTAGCAAGCTGGTTAAGTGGCACGTTGCTTACCCTGCTGACAACATTTAACATCCTGCGTAAAATGTTATAGTCTTTCTTCAGTAGCCCAGGAAAGACTAAGGGGAACAATAGAGAATGATAGGCAGGATGCGAGAATTAACGAATTGTAGGAGTAAGGGTTGGGTTGTACCAGAATGTTTTAACTTCTTGATGTAGAAGGTAAGACGGAATATTTTCTTAGAAATTGCTAAGATATGAGACGACCAGGAGAGATCAGCAGATAGAATGACGCCTAGATATTTAATTTCCGATTTAGTTTCTATTTCAATGCCGTCTATGTTGCATACCTCGTAAGAGCCAAACAGTTCGTTTAGGTCGGATTTATACCTAAAGGTGAAATTGACCATTTGGCATTTGGAGGGGTTTAGGGT